GATCAAGTCTTACTTGACAAGCCGTTTACAAACCACCGCAAGAAATGAGCGGCTTTTGAGCGGTTTTTTAAAACAAGATTTGAGCAGTTTGAGAGTTTTTGTCAAAAAAATGCTCGGAACGCTCAAATCGTGCTGGAAAACCGCTCAAACCGTTCAAGCTTGACCCCGGCTATTACATAATTAGTCACGCCCTTGTAGCGAAACTAATATGAATCAAATAAATTTGGAACTTTTGTTGTTTGTCGAGAAATCGAGACAGTCGAAACATACTTATTTTTGTTCGAGAAAGTCGAACTATATCAATGCGGGTTCGAACAAAGTCAAAACATTATGAATTTTTGTCAATAAAGTCGAAACATATCTATGCGTGGTCGAACAAACAAAGTTGAATTAATGTCGTTCAAAAAAGTCGAAACATATCGAATTTTAGCCGAGAAAGTCGAAACATATCTATGCGGGGCCTAACAAACAAATTCATTAAAAAATGTCGGTCAAGAAAGTCGAAACCGATCAAATTTTGGTCGAGAAAGTCAAAACATATCTATGCGGGGTCAAACAAACAAAGTTATAAAAAATGCCGGTCGAAAAAGTCGAAGCCGACATTTTTTAAAACTTTGTTTGTTCAACCCCGGGATCAAATGCGGGTTCGAAAAAACAAATTTTAAAAAAAAGTCGGTCGAGAAAATCGAAACATATCTGAACTGGATCGAAAAAATTTGAAAAATAGCAAATTTTGGTCGAGATAGTCAAAAGTTATCTATGCGGGGTCAAACAAACTTGGTCGAAAAAGTCGAAACCGACATTTTTTAAAATTTTGTTTGTTCGACGACCCGGAGTCGAATGTGGAGTTGAACAAACAAAGTTTTACAAATGTCGGTCGAGAAAGTCGAAAGATCGAATTTTTGTCGAGAGAGTCGAAAAATATCAAAACTGCGTCGAACAAAGCCGAACACTTTTTTGGTTGAGTCCAGAAAGTAGGAAACTACCAAAATTCAGTCGAGAAAGTCGAAAGATACCGATTTTTGGTCAACTATGTCGAGATATAAATCGAGCACGTCGACCCGGGACGATACATTACTACTACGGATATAAATCTTAGACAAGATAAAAAGGTTAGTTCAAACATTCAGGGTTTTGCCCCACATACCAGTGGCCCGCTGGCTTATCACATCGGCTGGAAATCGCTATCAAAGCTCGAATACATGCCGGCCTTTTCAACGAACAAAACCATCTCTTATTTCCAATTTCAGCATCAAAACTAACTTGCACTGCCTATGGAAAATAAAAAATTCCAATTCAAGTCACATGAACGGACCATGAGTCATTGCTCAAAGAAAAAAGCGTCACGGTTTTCAAAGAGGAGTAGGAAAAAACAAGCTTTCTGAGGCTTTTGTGATAGATTTCATTCCTTCATTTTTTAGATGAATATAATGTGTCAGACTACCATTTTCCTGCTGCCGTTGAGTTTGTGTGGATCGATGAAGAGAAATAAAACAGGAAAAGTAGCTAAAATATGTGTATTAGTAGTGAAAATGTGTCTTTAATGGCTTTTTTTGTTTTAGCATTCCTTGTGCACACGCTGACTATGTTTACAAAAAGCGCGAGAAAACTGTTTTGGACTAGGGATACGTTTAAATTACCATACATTTTAAAAAGCTGCTTAGTTTTTTAAACAGAAATATTCTTTTTCCTGCTTTCGCTGCGGTATTGATTTCTGAAAAAGCGCATATCTTTTCAACCACTTTTATAAAACCATAAAAATACGAGTGTGGAAAACCAGCCGAAGTATAAACTAGCCAAAAATGCGCAGAGTATAGAAACCAGCCAAAAGTTAGTTCATTTGAATCATTTTTCGTAACTGTCACATAATTGCTACAACTAATATGTAACAGTTATGTATTTTCGGCTGGTTTTTACTTCGGCTTGCTTATATGCCACCATAGATACGTTTCCTAGCTACGCCACCATGTTATGCTCGACCAATGTTTAGTTTCCTATAGTGCTTTTAGCTGAAGAATAAGTCTTGTTTTTTTCCAGTTGCAGTTTTAGATAAAACGTGTCCCAATTTACTTGGAGACATATATTTAAAATTAGACATTTAGTTCTTCTTGTCCGGTAATCTCATGTCACAGATAACAAATAAATTTGAATGAATAAAACGCAATAATTCAAGAAAGAGATCAGAAACACATCGAAAATCTATCAGACAAAAAAGCAAAAGTTATGGCAGACATAATCCAGATCGGACTGAGTTCGGTGATCATAGCGTGTCAGATCGTGGTGTTGGTGCTGGCTGCCCTGGCACTTGGAGGGGGAACCTGGATAGAACAAGTGAGGTTCGAGGGGGACTACTTCACCCGCATCCAGAGTGGCTACGGGGAGGGGCTGCAGTTGCACACTGGCGGCGACATGCACAGTATTGGCATGTGGAGATATTTTTCGGAGCCGGGAAGGTCCAACCCCCTGCCCACCAGAGGTAAGAGAATCTCATATCTTTTTTTTCCGAATTTCGATGAAAAAATTGAAAATTTCTGCTCGGGATGTTTTTTCTTCAAATCAGTAAGATGGCTCTAATAACTCATGATTATGATTAATGCAGACGAAATAGATATAATCCGGAATGATTAATCCTGACTAAAAGTCAGAATCACTCGAGTAGTATTGCATTGTCTCCCAGATCCTAAGGGGGTGGGTCCTTCCTAAGGGGGGATGTCCTCACGCAAAGCAAAATCCTAGAAAGGGGTCCTTAATTTTTTGGAGGACCCCTATCCTAGGATTTTGTAAATGAACGTAAGTTCCCACCACTGAAATAAAAGACCCCCTCCTTAGGATCTTGTTAAGCTGAGCTTAACAACCGGGACGCGATACAAAAATTCCTTCTAATTCCTTTTAAAGCGGTCCCTTTTCCCGCGATAATTAAAGTTAATCACCCTAATTCCTGAACTTTTCTTTTCGTCCTGGTTTCATGTAGATATATTTTCCCGGCTTTCTTTCTTTTCCTCGAACATTCGTCATGCTAATATAAGTTTCAGAATTCAGAGTTTATTGTTTTGGTTTTCTTTGCGCTGTTTGTAGATGGTCTTTCTTCTGAGGCGTCCGATAAAATAAATGGGTTATTTTCAGGGGATTGTTCACGGACTCGGCTACTAGAACCTCTAAATCCCCAATCCGGAAGTTGAAATTCGGGCGAACTTTAATCAGTTTCATTGTATGAGTTGGCCCACTCAGTTTCCATGTAAATGTCTTCTAGAAGTGCTTTTTCTTAGGCGGCTTTATGGCCAAAGGGAACTGTCGAAATCCTGCCGAAAAGGAGAAAACATTTTGCGTCGAATGGTGATAATGCAAGTTTGTTTTGTTTCACTGTCATATTAGTGTGAACTTTCGAAACTACATTATAGTTGTATACTCTCATTGTTTTTCCAGTGAATAATGTGTCCCTGAAGGTTTTGTGGACCAGTTTTTGCGGTGCACACCGTTTTACTCCTTTGGCACTCAGATTCTACAAAGAAGCGAAGTTATTTTTCTTTTCGGCAAGGCAGGGGATGGTTTATTTTCACTTCAGCAACTCCATCTATATCAAACAAAGTTTCATCCATTTTACCAAAAGTCTAATCAGCTCTTCCATTACATTCGGTCCTATTTTGAGCTCAAACTTGAACAGGTATTTTTTTCCCAAATTTGATTACTGCTAAGGCGTAGCCGCACAGTTGATGGATTGCACTCGTTTGCGTGCTAATTTTTTGCGGATCAGGTTGCGGTCCGTATGCTGGTAAGAGCAGTGACTCCAAATCAAATTAGATTACTCTGGGATTACTTTAACGAACTGTCAAGTTTTTAAACTTGTGGTCACCTTTTCCCGGCTTGGACAATGTTATGAAGAAATTTTGGTCTTGGTAGCAAAGCTCTTGATGTCTTCTCAGAGTTTCGAATGCGGCAAATTTCAGATTGTAATCGGTGCACTTTGTGCCGCACGTACTTGACCAGTTTCTGGAGATCACTTATCAACATAAAGTGATTTTTTGATCCATCTGTCAGCAGCAACAAGTCCACAATCAGGCTAGTATTGAATCTGCTCGATACTCTTATGGGAAACAATTTGCCATCGTTGAACCTGCTAAGAAAAATAATTTTTATACCTAGTTTTGGAATGAAATATAAATGGTGTTTGAATAGGTGAAGAAAACTAATGAGGGGATTTACGATTTTTTAAACGTGAAGTAGAATTTGCTTACCGAAAGACGTTGATTTGACAATTGTTCAACCTTTCAAATCTGTCCATATCCATCAGACCCATTGGCATTTCGTATTCTCCATTGATTTTCACAATTCCTTCTTTGTCGAGATCGTAGATTGAAACTTTGTTTTTCTCTGGCCACCTGTTTTTCTCCAGACTAGATGTGGGGTAGAGGGCCGGCTGATTCACGTTGTGATATGCGGCAACAAAGCAGCATATCAAGCAACGGTAATCATCTATAGTGTTAATATTAGTGAGCAAAGTAGAAGTAACACTGATTGCATCAGGAGCTCGAGGTAGGATTCTGCTTTAATTGGAGAGAAAGCCGCAAAACTGATTGACAATTTTTCATTTCGATCATTAATCTATCCGCTACCCTGAGACGAAAACGAATTGACTTGGTTGTCCATATGTTTAATCAATTGTAATCATTGATCCCCAGCTGTTCCCTCGAAGTACACTGTCAATGTCTCAGTATTTAGAAATTGCATGGTCCTTTCGAAGTTTCCAGTGTCCCCGTCTTGCACATAGGGAATTTTGATCCTCCCCTTCCACATGGAATTGCACTTTGTTCGGACCCTCTTTGACCCTCCAGTTTGAGAGCATCTATTTCTTCCTTGTTTTGCATCATGACTTGAAGCAAATCCATTTTTCTCCCAATTTTGAGATTGTATCGGTGCAATTTCTCTAAGAACGCGCTTTGCGTTTGGGCAGCGGAAGAGGTTGTCGCGATGCCATCCCAAACTGGCAATGCAGGCTTCTTCGCCAATTGTTGCTGATTGTTTTCCGCGGTGAGAAATATTGTATGGCAATAGATACAATGACTATTGGAAGTCACGTGCCCTCGGCTTTTCGACAATCTCTCAAAAGATTCGAGACACTCATCGCAAACAGTTCAAGGAGGAGGGGAGAAACAATCTTGTGAACTTGTGAAGTCTTTTCAAGTTCCTTTTAGAGCTCAGTATTTTTCCGCACTGCCGGCAAGGAAGAGGTGTCGCAATAGAAGTAGAGTTCGCAATTGTTTGTTAAAAATACTGGAAAAACTCTACTGGAAAATTTTGAGCTTGGAGTAAAACTGGTTATGAAGAAGCAAAATTGAGTACTGACCGGGACTAAAAAATTAAGAGTTTTGCAAGTAAAGACAAGTAGAGGCCATTAACGAGACTTAAACTTCGCCGTGAACTTGAGAATAAGTACTTTTCGTTCCAAAAACGGGGTTGATTACAGCTTTAAGCTTTATATGTCTAATCACCTAGTTCAAATGCAAAAGGTTTTGTATATTGAAAAACTGATTCTTTTAAGCGATAAATTTTTTTAAGGTTTGGCATCTTATAGGGGACTGTTTTAGACTTTCAATTAACATTTCAGCACTAAATTACAAAATTCGAAGCTTAGAATAATTCAAATTAAGCCTAAAAGTTTTTCTGACTAATTTTGACTGGGAAACGGTAATTTTTTAATGATTTCAAGCCCACTTCTTGGTTAGCTTAACTAGATATAAAAAAAGTAGAAATATGAGATAAAATTGTTCAAAACATCAAGCCCTCAACTACATACTTAAAATGAAACATGAGAAAAAATTTTTAAAAAATGAAAACTTTGCAAATTGGATATCTTGATAGTTGTAGATACGTGATAAAAATAGATTATTTTTGAATATGTTTGAAAGATATCGAAAGCAAAGTTTTTTCTTGTGACTCAGTGTACCGTGAAACATTTCATATCATGTCCTTTGAAATATGAAAGCATAGCCGTTTTGGTTTAAGGGCAATAGCTAACCCGGCGTTGCTCGTCGCTACGCTCCTCGGGAACGCCTCCCTATCTGTAAACTCAAGTGAAAAAAAAAAAACGTTTTTACCAACTTGAAGGAAAACCTCAAACTTTTTTTGTTATAAAAACTGAAAAATAACTTAAGAAAAAATCAATTCAAAACAAACCAATGATTCTTGTATGATCTTGAGAACAAGTCTACTGGTCGTGTAAGAAACATAATAACTTATTATATAATAACTTATAAGAAACATAATTTTTCAAGTTTTTTTCGTCAATTTTACCGTAAATTAATCATTTTAAATTCGAGTGATTATGTGATGATATGAATTTTTAAGGGGCTATCTGATGCCTATTTATTAGAGTAGAAATTAAAACACGTTTATAGTCCAAGCAATAAGAGTAGACTGTTAAGGAGATGTGGTTTTTTGAGAAAATCTGATTTTTGTGTAATTAACAAAAAAAATGGGGTAAAACTTTTTGTCTCGGAATCCATTCAATCTACCTTCAATCAATGCCATGGTTTTTGAATAGAAAGAAAGGTCATCTCTTCACTTTTTCAAGAAAAAAAAAACATAATTTTACGCTTTTTACCAACAAATTGTCAGTAATAAAAGCAAAACGCAAAAAGTTGGGACACATAACATGTATTCGTTAAACTCTGGATTATTTTTCAACAAAACTAAACGTTTGTAAAAAAAACGTTTAATTAAACATTAACAAGTGAGGTTTTTTGGACGCATGAAAACACGAATTTTTGTGTTTTTTCTTCAACCCAATTGTTCAAAAAAGTAAAAATTGAAAAGTATAAATATTCTAAAACAACTGATTTCGACCAAAAAAACCCACAATTGCTGCCCCATAGTGCGTGTAAAAACACGCCTAAATGCTTATTTTTTTCAACAATAAACAATAAAGATTGGAACAACAATTGACAAAACCATTAAAACAATTTGCGGAGTGAAACGAGTGTTTGACACAGAATCCAGTCCGGGATTTTTTAAACAATAGCCTTGAAAAGTGTGTGTTACGCCATACAACTTCTCCCCTGTCATTTCACTTCTAAAAACCTACACATTTCTGATTTAAATTATCCGGATGAAGCGCACTAAACTTGAAACTTAAAACACGTTTTACTCTAAATGGGTTGATTTTAGGTAGAAAACACTGCAGATAAATTTGCAGCAGAATTGCTATGGTGTAATTTATCTCAAAAAACTCTGGCGACAAATTATAACCCAAAAATGGCAATTTTAGGAAGGGCAAAATCAGTAAAATACTGCATTAAAAACTTAGTTAGGTTTGATAGACAAAAATGTCATTTTTACCAAATATAACACCCATTTCTTATTTAAAAACAGCTTTTGAAAGTTTTGCGCATTTTCTTTTTAAATTACACCCTTTTAAAATTTCGATTATAAAACGCTTATAAAACTTTGTCAGTAAATGGTTTGACCTAATTTTTAATTCTCTAAAAAGCCAAAATTGATCGTTTTTGGATAAATATTTCGACCTGAATTTAACAAAATAAATTGCACTATTCTATTTTTGTTAAAACTCTAACCATGATTTGTAAAAGCATTTTTGATTTAAGAGATCCAATTTGAGAAAAACGCGTTTCAACTTTGAAGTTTTATTCGTGTTCTTCGGGTAATTTAAATCAGCGCTTTATCTATGACAACAATTCCGAAATTTTTTCCCTAACTGTAAGCAAATAAATTCAAACTAATTCATAAGTACGGAAACCAACAAAACTGCGCGTATAAGGGTGAACATCTGAGTGTTGCGACTGCATTTGAAATTTTATGCAGTAGTGATCACTTAAAAAATGAATGGAATTTTTAAAAAAAAAGAAAAATTTTCGTTTCTTTGAAAGTCATCCCCCACGCGCAGTGTAAACTACAAAGTAATATAATTTACAAAAAAAATTTAAGTGAACTACCTTTTTCAAAAAAAAAGAACTTTAAACAAAAATACTTTTCCATTGAAATGAAAAATTCCGTCAAAAATTGCTACTTAAAAGTCGAACTCTGTCTGGAGAAAAAAATATCCCGAGCACAAATTTTCCGCCAGTTTCAGCGAACGTCGAAAAACATTGAGGTCTCGTAGGTTTAGTTGAACGTGCACCCAGGGGCGGATCTAGGATTTTCTCGAGGGGGGGGCGGATTTTCAAAAAATTTTCCAAAATTTTGACGACCTTTTTTTTTTTTTTTAGGTCGACCAAATTGATTTTTATTTTTCGCGCTCTCCCAAAGCACTGTTTTGCCCCTATTTTTGGTAAACTTTCTGCGCCGCAGGCAAATTTTTGAAAAAACAGTCAAAAAAGCCGTTTTTTGGGCACTTTTTGAAAAATTTTGACAAAAAAAATGCGTTTTTTTGGCGCGCGCTCCCCCTCAAAAATAGCATATATTGGCGCCAAAGGCGCCTTTAGAAAAATTTTAGGGTCGGTCGGCCAAAAATGGATTCTGAAAAAGTATCAAAGGGGGGACCCTTTGGGTTGGCAGGGGGTCAAATCCCTGAAGGGGGGGCGTCCGCCCCCCCCCCCCTAAATCCGCCCCTGCGTGCACCGGAGTTATAGTTTAACGCGCACCGGTTATTATTTTCCGATTAATTAAAACCCTTTACAAGTTTTAAGTCGAATCTTCAACTGTTTTTGAATTGTTCAGGTCAAAATTGTTTTCCTATATTCTAAAATTAGGAAAAGTTTCTGTTTCGTATCACAATAAGTGACATGAACTTTTTTGAACGCAAGAAAAATTCATTAAAAATTGAATTATCGCAAAAAATTGAGCATACAGTACTTATTCAACCACTGGATAACTGAAAATGAAGATTCCGCGCAGAGCATTTCCATGATATCTCAGTCTGACTATCAGAGGCACGAAAAATGCTACGCTTATAGAAAACTAGAGCGAGACACTCTCGTCAACTTTTTCCGTTGCTGCGGCAGATTTGAAATAAACTGTCGCCCTGCCACTCAGTTTTAAAACATCAGAATATCGTCACGCAGTTGCCAACAACTATGTTCTAACCCACCTTTACCATGGACTCCCAAATTTTTTAAATAAAAGCACTCGTTTAATGTACAGGGAGAAGAATGGCCTTGGACAACAAAACTTAATGCGGTGAAATTGGAGGTTTAATAATTCAATTAGGTTAGCATCCCGAGCTTTCAAAGTTACTCTTAAAATGTTCTCAAAATAAAACACTGTTCATATTAGCATATCTAGAATTGCGCCGTTTTTATTTACGCTTTTCTCCCAGTCAAGCCAGAAAAACTGGAGGCTTTTACAAAAAAGGCCGAAAAGCTATTATTAGACTCTTAAATGTGTACAAAAATCAAGCACCAAATTATTGCACATCTGACATCGATGAGAATGAAGAAGATGGCACGGAGAAAGAGAAATGCTATCTCAGTATGACTCTCAAAAGATCTTATCGAGTTGCAGCATATCAAAATGTTGAACGAAACATTGTTGATATCTTAATTTACCAGTCAATCAAATTTTCCTCTGCCTTGCTGATTCAAGCAAAAGCAATCGGTAAAAATCTTTCATGTGGCTAGTCGACGCGCTTTCGAGCTTTCACGAAAAACCTTCGAAGGAATATTTACTCTTGATACGATCATATTAAGAATTACCCCGTTTTGAGTAACCCTTAGTCGGATTTAAGTTACTACTGTCTGTTAAAAGTTAGCACTTTTAGGCCCCAAATGTTTTCATAAGACTTTTACCAAGCTGCTCTTCATTCATTCCTACAAAACACATTCGTTTTTATTTTGTTTTAACAGTAAAATTCCATCGGATTCGAGAAAAACAAGCAATAGTATGAATGAGCATTGTTTGAAACAAATGTTAGGGGATTATCAGGTTTTGCAACATGTTTCTAAGCACCTTGAAGAGAGCAATAATTTCCAGAAATAAAAACGATATATTAAGAGAAGACACGCAAAAGTTTCGTTCAAACATTATAGACAAATAAAGAACAAGACTGCTCGTATCAGGGCGAAGCCCTGAATGTCCCGACCGCCTTTTAATGTTTATGGAGCAGTAATATCATTTAAAAAACTAAATGAAATGAAACAAAATGAAATTTTTTTTCTAAAATTTGAAGTTTTTTTTAATGAAAATCATCCCCCCACACGCCATATAAAGTACAAAAGGATAGGTTTCGCTCCTTGTAACAAGTCAATTATGGCAAATAAGCTTCGTTAAACCAATTTGGAACGATTTCTAAGACGGATTAACTCTCCGCTTACGCGTTAATAGCGCGAAATATATCGCGTGTTAATTGTCCCAAATTGGCCAAAATGGCAATCTTTAAACCCCCGTAACTTTGCGAAAAATGATCACAGGTGAATTATTTTTTCAAATTTAAGCTCAGGACAACAATACCTTTCGAATGATATTAAAAAATTCCGTCAAAAATGGCTAGTTAAAAAGCCGAAATTTGTCTGAAGAAAAAAAAAACCCACCCCGAGCACAAATATTCCGTTACTTTCGTATCGAAAGTCGGAACAAAAATGAATTGTAATCAATGGTTAACACGAAACATTGTGCTACCCATGATGCTAAAGCCTAATTTGAAAAGGAAGCAAAACACTTTTTTTCGGAGACATTTTACTGTACACATATATACTGTATTTTAACCTTTTACCTATCACAAAAGTTAAAGAAGTTAAGAAGAATTTTTAAGAAATGTAGCGGGTTGTGATAAACGAGGGTTGCCAATAAGTTGAGTGTCCTGGGTAGTCTCCAAAACGATTCCTCTTTGTATTTTTTTAATGTTTCGAGTGTTCAAGAATTCTAAAAAAGTACCGAGTTTATAGCGAAAAAATTTGAAACGCCACATCAGCATATAAAGAGGACGCTACTTTTTTTACAGCTTTATTGGAGAGTCAATCTTTTTTATATACATAAAAAAGTTTAATCCCATTTCTTTTTAATTATGAAACAATTAAAGATTTGTCAGCTTTTCAAAATTACCCTTGCTTGCGTACTAACGGGAAAAATATTAAACGTAATATTTTGACTCATTTTGGAAAAAGTTGCCTGCTCCGGAGTGTTTGCTCGTATGATGCGATGGTTTTTTTAGATTTCAGTCGTGAGGTTGGGACTCTGGGGTGGAAATTTGTTTTAAAAAACTGCTTTTTTGCCAACAGTTTAAAAAATTTAACACATTGATCAGTTTTGTGGGTTCAGGATGCCTACGGTTTGAGAATTGAATCGTTCAAAGGTTTGTGGCATTTTAAAAGCCCTTCCATTTTCTGTCCATAGGATTTTAATTAATCGAGGATTTTCTTTTAACTAGGTTTTTGTTATCTATCGGGTAATACAAACTTTTGAAAAACAGGTCAAAAAAGTTATTTTTGTGCACTTTTTGGATACTTTTGGTAAAAAAGTTGCATTTTTTTGGCGCGCGCCCTCTTCCAAGTTAGTATATAAGGGCGCAAAAGGCGCTTTTAGAAAAATTTTACGGCTAGTCGGCCTTAAATGGATGTCATGAAATAATACCAAAGAAACGTATTGTTTTTTTGTTTCCAACAATTATTGTTGTTTAGCTAACGGGCTAGTTTTTATTATGACATAAGTATCATTATTTCAGACGCTGAGCTTACTACGGGCACAGCGTGTTACGTGACTGCCATTGCGCTGGGCTGTTTTCTGGTTGTGCTGCTGTCCTACCAGCTGCTGGGCATCCAGGCCAAGTCGGTGGCCCTTACCCTCACCACATTCTGGGTCACTTTCTTCGAATGTAAGTATCATTACACACTCACTTCATGCGGTTATTCGAAAACCGAAAAGTGTAACAAGAATGCTTAAAGTTCGTTTCTCAAATTTTTATAAATAAGTGTGTTTGGCAGTTACTTGTCTTTCTTATTTGATTATTTTAATCAGACCTTAATTTTTCCACTTGATTTGAATGTTTCCTAGGTTTCAGTTTTTCTGGCAGCAATTTTTTTATCCTTGCCTAGGAAATTCGCTGATACTTTACTTTGGGACCATGTGTAGGTTTTTTCGTGGCGGTCCTGTATCTGATCAGCAAATTTGTCGGTCCAGCTAACTGGACATTAAAAGGACAATGCATTCTGTTTACAGTTTACAGCCAAGAAATTTACAGAAAAAAGCACCACTTTATTTTTTTGAAAAGTTCACCAAATATATGAAAACTGAGATCAATTCGCCCAATCATTTCATTTCAGTCGTGATGTTGCTGGTGGCCTCGACAGTGGTACTGCACTACTTCAAGCAGACATTCCGTTACGAGCGCCTGGGACACTCGCACCACGTGACTTGGGTCTCCTTCAGCTTCAGTGGACTGTCCCTCTTTCTCTCCCTGATCCGACTCATTGTCAGTATCAACAACCGCAACGACCATGAGCTCCGATCGGACCGATCCGACTACCGCGACCACAGATCGATCGGATACCAACGAACTGGATCGGTAGTGAATCTCGGAGGCAATAATGGGGGAACTATGAACCAGATGCGTCCAATATCTCCAAAAAGTGTGAACAGTCTGGGCCATGCTCCCCCGTATAACAGAGACAGCTATGGACCCAATAATGATTACAGAGGGGGTAATGGGTACAACGGGTACGACTATGACATGCGACCTCAACCTCCGAAAAATTACGTTCCGAGTTAAATAATTTATAAGTTAACTCTTCTCGCTGTTTAATGTCTTGAGACTCATTCCATTTCAATTTAGATTATGCAATTTCTCTGGCTACCAAGAATGTGGATGTTATTTTTGTATGATTTCCCTTGATGCTTCACGATTTTGTAATATTTTCTGCTTTGGTTCGTTTTGTAAATCTGAATGATATGCCCTGAGGTTTTAGAACTCAATCAACCCAACTTAACGTATTGTTCATACTTCTAGTTTAAAAAAAATATAAAAATATGCGCAAAGTAAACATTTCCAAAAAAAATTGGAGTTAAAACATATCTGTACATATCACGAGCCATCTATTATTTAATTTTAAGTCCATGCATGAAATAATGCTAGATATAACAAAATGAAATAAATTTTTATTGAGTTTTTCTCCACTTCGTCAAGATTGCCAGGAAAACGTTTAAATCAGTTTGAAAGCTAATCAATTGAATAAAAAATATGATGAAAAACGGAAACGTTTTGATTATGTTAGAAATGGTGATTCTTTTGATTAAAACCAAACTTAGCTTTGCCGATTTTAAGCACCATGCTAAGTAGTAAAGCATACAAAAAGGGAAATACTTAAATTAGTTCGAGCTCAAAAGATTCTGTCCCTACTGTGGCAGAAGTCCTAAGTGAGGTAAAAACGGCAACCCCCCAATAGGAATTAATAATAAAAAGTTTATTAAACTCACCGGACGTATACTAGATTCGACCCAGGCATGCAACAATCCAAGCAGCTGAAACTCCAGACCCTTTGGACGCCATTTTTGGTTTTATTCCCTTAGTAAAACTCGACTATCTAATTTCCTGAAGCCAATTCTCGACCACATTAAAAAGTAGGAAGCCGAAAACTTAGGATAATTAGTCGCAAGGAACATCATATTCACAAGGTAGTAGCAAGCATGGTACATCACAAGTTATCAAAAATTGGGACATTCTCTCAGAGATTAAAAGATTGACCATTGGTGACCCCACGCCGACCATCATTTGACCCCTGGAGGCTTAGGCCCCAAAAACATAAAATCTCAAAGTTAACAGCGGGAAAACACCTATCCCAGCTCTGTAACTTTTGGAAATAGGAATCGAGCACCTGACCTGCAATTGAGGGAAATTATCTATAGAGAGAATTAATTACACGATGAAAGAACCGCCCTTTTACTTTTGCATCTCACACTAGTTATTTCAAAAAGAGTCACAACGGACAATCAATGGGTGAAAATTAGCCAGGACAATTACGCTTTTAAAAATTCCTAGTCAGTCCCACAAAAACTAGTCCCAAAGTAATATGGCATTAAAAAGAATATGATGTACGATTGAAGTTTTTTTAGAGAAATATGTAGACGGGATTCTCCATTAGCTCCAGAGATTTTTTTCTAAGATACTCACCAAACATATAGAAAACGAGATCATTTTGTTCAACCACTTTCATTTCAGCCATGAGTTTGCTGGTGGCCTTAACAGTGGTACTTCACAATTCGAGCAGATATTCCGCTAAGAGCACCACGTGACATGGGTCTCCTTCAGCTTCTTTGGACTGTCCATCTTTCTCGCCCTGATTCGAATCACTGTAAATGTTGATTACAACAACAACAACAACTTGAGAACCGATCCGATTGAACCAACAACCACTAATAAACAAGTTATTAGATCCAGCGAGCTGGATCAGTTATATATATTGGAGGCAGAAATGCAACTATGAACCAGATGTGAACAGTTTGGCCCATGCTTCCATTAGAGAGGGGGCAAGGACCCACGGGTTTACAATGACATACGACCTCAGCATCCAAGAAAAACAATCCGATGTAACCATTTTAAAGTTGACTCCACTATCGGTTTCATGTTCTGAGTCCCACTCCATTTCAATTTGACTTATGCAATTTCACTGGCTACGAAAAGTGTGGATGTTATTTTTGTACATCTATGATGCTTCACTATTTCATAACCTATTCTGCTTTAATTTGTTTCGTAAGTCTGATTTTTATGTCTTGAGGGGGTCATAACACAATAAACTTAGCTTGGCGTCTTTTTCATTTTTTTAAACCATGAAAAAAAAAACAATTGAGTGCAAATTAAAAAATCACAAAGGGCTCTCCCAGAGTTATTGGTAGGTCGAGATTGCAATTAAGTAAGGACGGTAATTTTAAATAATTAGGGCGAAGTTGTTACATTTAAATTGGAACTCCCCCTAACCCAACAGGCTGCAGCATTAATTACACGACAAAAAAATTTCTCGGTAAGTTGGTTGCTTACCCATAACTTGGTTTTGAGTTGAGATCGTACCTGTTTTAGACAATTAGACAACTCAATTGGAGACATGTATATCAAAATTGGGATTTGAGCTCATAGATGAGCGTATTTTGTAAAGTTTTGCACAGTAGGTACCGAAGAAAATTCGAGATTTCTAGTGGTAAACATAAAAATTCAAATAGACAAACATAAAAGAAAAACGAATAGCCTAATATCAGTTGAAGCAATTAAACCAAATAAAAAAGTGGGTTCTCAGCAGAGTGAGATCAATTAGAGACTTGCAAGAACAATTGTTCTCTCAAACAAGATCAAGAAATTGAATCCAGCACGTTCTTCAGTTTGATAAAAATTTTATTGAGCTACCGTGGATAGCAGGATTCTAGTAACTAGTGATACTAGAAAAAAGTCAGCACATAGATATATCGCAGGATGATAATTCACTTGGACGAAAGAAGGAACCCGCATTGGCAAAACTAAGATTGCAATCGATTATTGCAAGTAAAATCTACAGTTCAGCAATCTAGTTTTATTTTATGCACTAAATAATGGATTTTTTTTACTGTCAAATCGATTACAATCGATTGCAATCATACTTATTTTAATCGGTTCGATAGTTACCAAAATCCATTTTAAGTGCATTTTTTGGTACAGATTATATACTGATTTTATAGAGATTATATACACATTTATACAGATTTTATACTCTATAAAACGCTCAGTATTTCGTTTTAATTTTTATAGAAAAGTTTCGAATTGAAAAAAAAGTTTTGTTACGTGTCTTGTTTTGTTGAAAAAACCAAAATCGATAAAAACAACAAAGAACCGTCTAAATAAGACCAAAACTGATAGTTTTTTGCTCAAAGCAGAAAATGGAGGAACTCTAGTTTTTTTTCTGCTAGATATTGATTGTGTGTGAGTTGGTAGTTGTTGTGGGGTGATGAATTTGAAAAAAAAACTGGAAAAACGATAAGTTCTTTCCGAAAATGGAAAATCGCAGTATCTACTTATTTTTTGGACTAATTCTAGTCTTTTGGCAAATTCTAGCAGAATATGGTAGAATTCTAGTTTTTTTTCTGCTAGATATTGTGTGTGAGTTTGTAGTTGTTGTGGGGGGATGAAATTGAAGAAAAAACAGGAAAAACGATGATTTTTTTTCAAAGATGGAAATCCCAGTATCTGCTTATTTTTTGGGCTAATTCTAGTTTCTTGGCAAATTCTAGCAAAATATGGAGCAAATCTAGCTTTTTCTGCAAGATATTGATTTTGTTAGATGAGTTGTTAGTTGTAGTGGGAATCGAAGAAAAAACTAGAAAAACGATGATTTTTTTCCGAAAATGGAAAATCCAAGTTTCTACTCACTTTTTGGTCTAATTGTAGTTTTTTGGAGAATTCTAGCGCAATTAACACGCAATATAGTTTGCGCTACTAACGCGTTAGTGGCAATATGAACGGCCAAATATTTACTCAGCTTACTTGATTTCCTTATATTTCTCTTGAACATGCTGCATTCTGATTGGTTAAAAAAATTCACATCTTTCAGTTTGCGAAAAACCGAAATAACCAAGGGAACTTTATACCTCTAAATCAATTTGGCTGAGATTGTTCACATGGTCCACAACTCATTCCCGGAGAGCCGTAAAGTTCGATTCGCTCCACGCCAAAAAAAATTTGCTAAAATTTTAAAAATATTTTCCCCAAGCTTATACAGACCCTCAAGAATAAAAAATTATATGGTGGGCGAAAGGATTGCTCCAGAAAAAACTGAAAATATTGTTGGTTATTTATCTGACCGATTTGAGTTGAGCTATCCCGAAGACTTTAAACATTTTTCTGACAAAGTTTTCTGCGATAGAAGCAATTATTAAAAAATGGTAAGAAATTGAGGTTTCAAACTTTTTTGCGCCTGCTTTCCGCGTTTATTTCTTTTTTCAAGACATTTATTAAAAATTGCTCTCAATTCGTTATTTGGATAGCCAGCAGAGTGATAAACTGGATGTCCGAAAAATTCTCTTTTCCCGGACAGCCTAAATTTTTTTTTGTACAGCCGAAAAGACAAAATTGTTCCCGGATAGCCAAAAAAAATATTGCGTATCAAAGTAGTCGCAATTTTATTGCTATCTAATCTTATGAAACCGAAGCTCTTATTTGAGTTTATTGGACTTTTTGTTAAGTTCCGATGATAGTTTAATTGTGCAAATTTTGTGACAAACTTGCCTTATTAGTCATATTTTGTTTTGTTGCTAATTACCTTAACAAAACTTTAAAAAAATTTTATCGGCTATCCAGGAATGCGGCTCTGTGCGTGTAACTTACTGCATGTTAAAAAAAGGTGGATTGTTTTTTTGTGTTTTTAGACTTTTGGACATTTTGTGTTTTGCGTAATTTTAGCTACTAAAATGGACCACGTGAACAATATCTCTCCCCATCCCTTCAAACTAATTTAGAAGGGGGATAAAATTGATTTGGATATTTCGCTTTCTTAAATAGAACGAGGCGAATTTTCAACCAAACAAAATTCACTGTGTTTGTAAAAAGTAGAAACAAATTAAGTTGAGTTAATATGCTTATATTGCCGCTTACGCATCAGTAGCACAAAATATACCACGTGCTTATTTTCCCAGTTTTGCTAAATTGCCAATCTTCAAACCCCCACAACTTTTCAAAAAAAAATCACTGGTGAAATATCTTTAGAACTTTGAGCTCAGAACAACAGTACATTTCGAACGATGAAAAAAATTCAGTCAAAAATGGCTAGTTATCTAATACATTGTTAAAATTGTCTTTTATTTGGTTGGTGGGGGGTTAGTTCACTTGGTCGACATGGGGGGGGGGGAATATTCACATGAGCCACTAAAACTTCAATTTACTGTTCCAGGCAAACTGTTTTTGTACTTTTTTTTTTACAAAATGCTGCATCGGCCGGGTGTTCACACATTTCGCCCCTCACACGTTTTGCCCCTCTTAAATCTAGTGGCACATTTGGCCCCTCACACATTTCGCCCCTCATAAATTACTGGCACATTTCGCCCCAAAATGTACATTAAGAAAACGGCGTTAATTAACTGTGTAATAAGTTAGGGGCGAAACGTGCGAGGACGAAATGTGTGAAATTTTTAGGGGCGAAATGTGTGAGGGGCGAAATGTGCCACTAGATTTAAGAGAGGCGAAATGTGTGTGAGGCGAAACGTGGGACATTCCATCGGTCGACATGTTTGAAATCAGAGGAGTAATAAATAACTAATTTTATATTATTTTAATTAATTTCAATTAAAATGATGAAAACCTAACTACTGTAGTTATTCAAGTTATTTTAAAATTAAATTCGAAACTATTTAAATGACTTTCTAGCAGCCTTCTGCAGATGATGTCGACTCTCTCCCAAGATGTTCGTTTTGATCAATGACATCTCTCTTTAGCCAGTGACAAGAGAACTTCTCGAATCAATAAATCCAGTCGAAGTCTCAAAATTATTTCGATGACTTCTCTGCAGTCCGACAAAACAGCTCGGACCGCTGAACAAACTCTCGACTTTCTCCAACGACACTCCTTTAGTTTCGGGCAGGAAGAGAAAAATGTACAAAATAACCAAAATGTTGAATCCAGCGGTCATCGCAAAGAAATATTTCGGCGTCATTGCCGTTGACAAGGTTATAAAAGTAAACGACAGAAACAAGTTTGTAACCCAATTACAAGTAGTTGAAATGCCCCCACCTACACCTCGACCCCATATTGGGTAAATTTCGGCGTTTACGACCCAAGGGACTGCTCCCATGCCAGTAGCGAATCCGGCAAGGAAAAGCACCATGGATACTAAAGTCATTAAGGCGTACCTAGACGGACAGTACTCATGAGTCCACATTAAATCGAGGGTAGTCAAATCTGATTGATTGGAACAGAGACCGATTGAAGAGAAATCGTCCTCTGAAATGACAAAAATATCGATGAGAAATTAAATTATTTCATATCATATGCTTCCTTACCCTCCCAATGCAAAACATTTCGAAGACCGAACAAAGGGTTAAAGCAATATTCTAATTATTATTTTAAGGGTTCATTGATATAATAAATTGTGGGACTTCAAATGATCATTTACCCAGTGAAATCAATATTTTTCGTTGAAATTAATGGTTCAATTTCAAAAAATGTAATTTTTAGAAGCCGCTCTTAACCATTTTTGCGGTAAGGCAGACAAGCGGAAACTGAAAAAGATCCTCCTCCGTCTTCGTGGAAACAGAATCCACAGTCCGACTTGGTTATACAAGATGAACATGTAGATGCATCGAAACATGGCGAGTCTTCAGGTGGGATTCGAGGAATAGCTATGGAGGGGTCGTCTGTTTCCATGGCAACATAGCTGAGAGACAGACATAGGAGTCCAAACGCGGCCACAAGTTGAGTTCCCATCGTCAGCCTCCTTCTTCCCAGCTAAAAAAGAGGGCATTAATGACAATAGTAATTTCGTAATAATTCTTCAAAGATTTTGGAAAAAAAAATTGGACGCTTTGCATTCTGCGTAATTTTTTGTACCATATGGTGATATTTATCAAGGTACCATAGGATCCGAGAAAAGTGAGAAAAATGGAGCCTTAAAAATATACAATCATCTGATCGTTATTTCGTTTTTTTCTGAGAAAAAATTATAACAGCAACCTAAGGTATCTCGTTTTTAAGCGAAAACGGCAACGTCAACGACTTGCAATTTTTACTTGCTCCTCTTTGCTAAGCGATGAAATAAATTTGGAAGCCACTGTTTGGCTTCAGAATATGGCTTCCGCTTCAAAATCGAGCGATCTAATTGGCCCTTACCTTTTCGATGAGACTCATCCCAACTAGTGTGAAAATGAAATTGGCAGCAGAAGGGACGATGGCCAGCCAGATGGCCTTATCGGCACTGCCTACTCCAGCTGAGAGTAGGATGGAAGCACTGTAGTACATGAAGGTGTTGATACCACACAGCTGCTGGAATATCTGCAGCATACAACCAGCTAAAAACGAAAAAAACCCAAGCTTACCCTTTGAACAATTTTTGTTGTTTCTAAAATTAGCTTATTACAAATTATAGAAAATGTTATATTTTTGAAGAAAATATAAACTGATTGTGGCCCAAAATTAGAGCGAATGTGCAAAATAAGCTTTAAATTAGTGTATGTCAAATTGAAATATCAAATTAGAGTCACTTATAAGAGCTCTTCTTGTGGCCTTGTTTGAAACCATGATTTTCAGCTTGTCAATTGTGGGCGGTTCCTTCTCCAGAGCCTCCTTGTAAGCAATGAGATCGTCCATTTCCTAAAAACCAACAGCTAAGACAAAATAGGTCAGAGAAAAACTCTAATTTAGAGTTTAGGCATCGCGTTACCGCCAGATATATTCGCTGTCACATTTTTGAGTTAAAAACATCCTTAAAAATGACCTACAAATTTTACAAACTATTTTTCTAAAATCATCCGTTGTCGTTTACTACAAAACAGTAGCAAATCGACATATAATTCAGAAAAGAAATTCTTGGTGGCGACGCATATAAACTCGTTCAATTTCACTGCAAATTTTCTCTTTTTACCGCGCTATAACGGGGGACACTGGAGCGCAATATTATTTTGAATTTCGAGAGGACATTTTTATGGCCGAACATAGGATCTTAAAGCTTCCTCTTGATGGTTTCCCATGTCAAAATTTTCGGCCAGATTAAGGCAAGATTTTAGCTGCTTGACGGGGTTTTTTAGACGATTGAACTCACAGTTTTGTTTGAAAATCAGCGGTTTTTAACAAATATTTGTGCAGCTTTTGAGTGGTTATTTTTCAAAAATTGGTGAAAAACCGCGCAAGATTTGAAAGGTTTCTGAGCGGTTAATTAGAAAAACCGCTTGAAACTCATTCAAAACCTTGCGCGGTTTTTTGAGCTGTGTTTCTGAAAAGACGTTCAAAAACCGTTTGAATCTTGCGCGGTTAATTCAAAAAACAGTTCAAAATTTGCGTGAATGTTGAAAAGAAACCGTTCAAAAACAGCTCAATAATTGTGAGCAACCGCTCAAGCTGCTCGTTTTTAACAAAATTTTTGTCTGAAAATTTTTGTCGCAATTGTCTGAAAAAAACGCTAAGCCGCTCAAACTTTGCTTTAAATTAGCCAACAAATCTCGCCTTGGGCAGGCAAGGTTCTCTTCCAAAATCTTCAAGCTGCAGTTTTTTTACGCTCATTAACAATTGGCTACTTGAAAATTTTTGAATAGCTTAATTTAACGTTTGTAAATGTTCAATCACATTTTTTTCAATTAGCAAACAAGAAAGAGAAAATTATTTCTGTACTGAGTTTTATTTCGTTTAAACTACACAAAATTTGAGGAACACAACATTATATTAGGAAAGCTAGCTGAAAAAAAACTCAAGTTGACACTGCAAAACGAAAGTTTCGTCCAAAATTTCTGAACAAAATATCGAAAACTATGACTGTATGACTTTCGGATTTGATAGCATTTCAGGCTTGTTTTGTTCTCCTTTCTTATGTCCAAACGCCAAACTGGAAAAACTCGAAAAGTGGAAAAGCTATAACTACGTTAAACTGGAAAAATTCTCTGATTACTTGCTCAAAAAACAGTTCGAAACTGTCGCAAGAAATGAGCGAATTTTCAGCATGATTTGAGCGGCTTAAGAAGTTTTTTAAAGCTCCAACTTCTTTGATAGCTCAAACTATTCAAATCTTACTGGGAAATCACTCACAGAGTTAAAAACTTGAGCACTTTTTGAGCGGGTTTTGACCCGGGTTGCTTTTTGGCTCTGCCCACTCTGACTGTTTAACCCAGCAAAAGTTGGTCGCAACATGAAGGTAGCTCATTGATCTCTGGAAATTACCCTAATTAGAACTAACTAACTACTATTTTGCTTCTACGCTATGCTCGATTCGAAAACAATCTTTTGCGTCATAGATCAATTCTTGTCCTGTATAAGGTTCCATTGATACCAATCGATGATTTTCGTTTTTCGTATTCAAAAATGATGCAATTATAACTTATTATACTCAATTATGCTGAAGCCAAACATGTCTCAAAATAAATTTGCAAAATTCAGTTTTTGAACAAAAACGGAAATGGTTTTGATAATCTCAGCTCTTGCTTAAAATAAATTATAATCTATAATATCCAGTAAATTCACTGTCAATCTAAAAAAATTGCATATTTCATTACATTTTTTGACATTGAAGGAATAGATTGATTACATTCTGAAAAAATACATTATAATGGATTATAACGATTGATAATACGTAAAAAAATCAAAATTGTTGCAGCGAGGCCGCTTCGTGTGCTAAACTCATAGCTCACACGATTTCTAAACCTACTCTCGCTCACTTGTTTTTTGCAAAAAGGTCTCTCTCAGACATTTAACACCCTATTTCTCATTTTTAACGTCAAAACAAACATTACAAATTTGCCCCAATTTCTCACGTTTATCCGTTCTTCCAACGGATATGTGTAAAGCGGTAAACTTGCGGGGATTAGTAAATAGAGGACGAAGTAAGGGGGGGGGGAGTGCCCCAAATACGAAAGGTACGAGAAAGAGTTGTGAAGAAAAAAGAATAAAATAATTGCAATAAATTTTTGTGGTAGCCAAAAGTAAATCTCAATTTAACACTGACAGTAACTTACCCCAAGCTCGATGACTTCTAACTTACTCGATTTCTAGACATATCCACATGTTCTTACTTTTTGCAAACCGATATGCTTCTCACAATCAACAAACCCCCTTCTCATTTTCAACATCAAAATTGAACAAATTAAATTTACCTCAGGTCACCACATTAAATCCCTAATACATTCCCCCAGACCAACCCCCAGCCCCAACCCCAATATTTAGTGCCATACTAAGCCAATTTTAATCTAAAATTTAAAATTTTCATGGAGACAGACCATGAAAATCCATTATGATCGATCATGATCCCTCAATTCCCAATGCCGTATCTTGGTGTCGTGTCTGTGGCTTGTTTAAGCCAGATGTAACCCGTTATCTTATTTTTTAAACCTCTGCAAATTTTTCGGTCGAATTTACAAAAAAAAATCAAACCTGAACGATATCAAAAATAATCAAGGAAAGCGACTACAATCTCGCAGATAAGTAAGATTTTTAGTTTCATTATTGAAAAAAATATTGCACCTTGTACAGCATTGTTATAACCAGACATAATCATTGGTATGCGGCTAGATAGCTTCTATCTCAAAAAAACTGTGTTTGAAATTTTTGGAATGTTTGTTCATGTCATAGGCTTATCTTACCATTTGAAAACAAAAAACACAAGTCTGACGCCATACAAAACAATACTTTTGTTTTTGAATGATTTGTGTGAAATATTGCGTCTAGAAAATGCTATAAGCAAAAACAAAACAATTTTGCAGGCATAAAAATGTTTGTTTGAGCAGTAAATTGACTTTGCGTCAAAGAAAATTTTTCAAAAACTTGGCTGATTTCCTGAATTCTTTGGAATGGTATCTAAAAGCAGGTGTGCAGGCCTGCTATTCAAGGATGTTCTATCCTATGCTCTCTGGCTGGGCTCCTCCCCCCTGGATTGCTTATTATTCTAGCCTAAATTATAATTCTCACCTAAGATCGTCAAATTTCTTGCGAAAATAGTTATACTTTGAAAAATTAGTTAGAAAACAGTTCGAATGTAAATAATGGATAGTTAAGTAAAAATGATTTAAGCAGTTAATGAACAACTGTCTTCAGTACCAATAGAGATGGGTCAATACCTAAACTTTATATTCAAACAAACACTTCATTTGCCTGTAGTCCGCGCCTAGAGTGCTGATTGATTTGTCTATTTGATGCATCTCAATGTATTGGGTCATCAGTAAGATTAAATTAAGAAGTTCACACTCATTATCGATATGGTCTCCTGGAATGTCATCTTCACTAAAATTGTGGATCTGGTAAGGTGAATGATAATCGATATTTCGCTTATTTCAATTTTCGACCGGTCATGCAATTCAGTACTTCATTGTAATTTGACATATGCCTGAATTCTTGTTGGGATTTATATCATTGGAATTGTTGTCTACACTTGACCTACAGCTATAGTTATGAGAATTTCTGTTTGCATTTTTTCTGATATTAAGTTATGCATAGTTTTGCTCCTGTTGATCTTTAAATTTAAAGCAATAACTTATCTTATGGCCTGACATGCATCAGGATTTGCAAAACCTTGGGTTGTCATGTTTGTTTCTATGTTCATGTGGATTATAAGATGCGTTTTTAATGATCGCTTATAAGTCCTGTTAATTCTTTAAGTTGAATTTTTATTCCCTCTATTTCCAATTTATTATCTACGCTATATCCAATAAACTCACTACTTGCTGACAATTTTTTTTAAAGCTATGTGATCTTTTAATTGTTGCCAAATTGCGGGTGGATTCTCAATTAGGAATTGATGTGGCTAGAACACACACAAAAAATTCGCACAAAAAGTTCCATTTTCTTTAGTGTTCTTTAATCATTTTTGAAAGATGGATTAGGCAATGTTCAATCTACCAGGGTGGCTAACCTTTTTATGTAACTTTTGATAAACTCATCCTGTTATCTTTTATGTTTTACGTTTCTATCCGTCCTCTATAATGATGTTTATCATCACTTAATCTATTTCTAAACTGATCTCTTATATCGTTCCAAGATAAACCTGCTGCTAATCCCTGATACCATTGAGCAGCTGGACCTCTTAATATTGAACCAAATAAAGTTCTCTGTCTGTCATCATATTCGTCCTGATTGTCACCTGGGCTTGCTGGTCTTGTAAAAAACCTTTTGCATCTTCATTCGGATCCAAGCCGGTAAATTTTTTGCGAACTAAATCTGGATATGCGACTACGTTTATCATTTTTTTTATTTCACCTGGAGCTTATGAATAGTATATAAAATTTTTGATGTAATGTTTGCTGCTCAAATAAAATTATTTAAGATTTCTGAAGTTTATTGAGTTTTTGAGTTTGATGAATATAGTTTTATATTGGATATATCAATATATATCAAAAAGGCTATGGAGTTGGTTAAGCTTTTTTAAAAAGAAAACATTTCTGATGGTTTGCTGCGGGAAAAAATGGTCAATTCGTGGTTGTTTCTGTTTGATTGTTTGGAAAAAAAAATTAAATGATGTTTTTACTTATATTTTCCAAAATTTTGACTTGGGACGCAAAATTTCTGTCTCTGAATTTTAAAACACCAATTCTAAAACGTATGTTTCAGCCTTAGCAGCCAAGTTTTAAAATTAGTTTGGTTGGTTTTAACACCGTTAGTTTTCTCTTAAAAGTCAAAACTCGACGTTCGAAGCTCAATTTTGAGACCATAAACCTATTTTTTGTGTTCTAAAACCTGAAAATAACAAAAAAAAGTACAATTTAAGGGCAGGTTTCTGATTGTTGGCATCCAAATTTGGGTTTTTCTAATTCAGCTTTTGCTATTTCACCCAAATCAATTTGAAAATTTTTCAAATATTGACCGGAAACTACATTCAGTTTAGCTGAAAAATTTGACCCTATAACTGAAACCTAGACTGAAATCTACAACTTTGGTAAAAATCAATTTTCTAGTGCTTAAGCTATCATATGAAACCTATTTTATCAATGTTTTAGCTGTGTTGGTGTCTTAGCTTTAGTTTTTGTTGTAAAACCTAATATTTTGGTGCTGAAAATAAGACGTGGTCTTTGGTGCTATGTGGTTATTGTTTAAGAACGGTTTTAGTGCGTTATTTTATAGTTCATTCGTTGTTCATTCGTTATAGTTCATATAAAAACACTCAAATTCGTTCTTTCCTATTTGGTTTTTGTTAAGTCCTCCCCTAGTTTTAGTAGTTTATAGCTTTACTGATGAATCCCTGAGGTGTAAGTTACGTTAGGGTTGGTAAAGATAAAAATAAGTTTAAGGAAAGTTGAGAAAAAGCCTCGACAAATGATGAAGGATTAGAATAAATAGCAACAAAGTTAAATGTTGTGTTTCTTACGTGATGAAGATTTCAATTTAGCATACAGTTCAGGGTACTCTTAGACTGCATATATAACCACTTAACCCTCTCGAAAAAAAATGAAGACATATAATAAATTTTTGAGCATTTTGGATGATTGAGGATTTAGATAAATAAAGTGATAAAAACTTTAAACTGAAGTTTTGGCATGTATTTAGTGGATTACTGGACAAAAAGGGTAAACCTACCAGCGGACTTAGGCAAAGAACGACTCTTTCAGAAATTTTTCATAGTGTTATAAAATTAATTGATAGTTGAGTTCGTGTGCTAATTTCAGCCAGAAAGCCGTCTAATATATGGTCGAGATGGAAGAGTATCGAGGGTGACTGTTAGCGTAGGGGGTACTTTTTGCAAGAGCGGTAGAAGACAATCAAATTCTGTTTCTTTTGAAAGACACCCTATGTCTCTAGCTTTTTGAGGTTGAAAACTAATCTGACAAATACTCAGAGATGCAAATTTGTTGGAAAAAGGAGTTTCTTAAGGAGTAGTTCTCTGCTGCGGTAGCATCAAACTTGTTGTTGGTTGATTGCTTAGTAATCTAGCCTAAATTGTAAGTCTCATCTAAGATCGTCAATTTTCTTGGCAATAGTTATAGTTTAAAATTTGTGTTAGAAAAAAGTTTGAATTTATATAATGAATAGGTAAATAAAAATGATATGGTTTTGCTGAACAACAAGGGTTTTGCTGAACAACTGTCTTCTGTACCAATAGAGATGGGTTCACTACCTAGTTTTTACATTTAAACTAACACTTCATTGGCCTGTAGTCCGCGCCTAGATTGCAGATTGATTTGTCTATTTAATGCATCTCAATGTATTGGGTCATCAGTAAGTTTAAAGTAAGAAGTTCACACTCATTATCAATATGGTCTCCTGGTATGTTATCTTCACTAAAATTGTGGATCTGGTAAGGTGAATGATAATCGATATTTCGGTTGAAAGCTTTTTCAATTTTCGACCTGTCATGCAATTCAGTACGTCATTGTAATTTGACATATGCCTGATTTCTTGTTGGGATTTATTTCATTGAAATTGTTGTCTACTCTTGACCTACAGCTATAGTTATGAGAATTTCTGTTTGCATTTTTTCTGATATTAACTTATGCATAGTTTTGCTCCTGTTGATCTTTAAATTTAAATCAATAACTTATCTTATGGCCTGACATGCATCAGGATTTGCAAAACCATGGGTTTTGTCATGTTTGTTTCTATATTCATGTGGATTATAAGATGCGTTTTTTTATGATCGCTTATAAGTTCTGTTAATTCTTTAAGTTGAAGTTTTATTCCCTCTATTTCCAATTTATTATCTACGCTAGTGGATGCTGTTCCAATAAACTCACTACTTGCTGAAACATGCCTTTGGAATGTTTATGTTGCTTATGTACCTCGGAAAAATTCAAATGAAAACACTTCAAGGGATTGGCAAGATTTTCAAATGACTGGAGCTGGGTTTCTTTAATACCAATCTATATACCTGGTTCAAATCTTGCTCCTTCCTTATTTTCTCTAGCACTCTTTCTGCCGGCTGGGAGGAGTCTTTCTTCACTATGAGCCAGGTGGGGGACTCAGGCATGAAAAGAAAACAGACCAGCTGAATGAAGGCAGGCACACCTAACAACAAGAATTAGAACAGTTAAAAATTATGAAACCATCCTGGAGGTAATTCTGGAAATGCTCGAAAAGTAACTTTTCAGCAGAAAAAATATGCCATTTTACAGTGGAAGTTGCGGCAACAAGAAACTAAAGGTAAGATGTTCGAGGCGCACCATGATCGCAGCTCGTTGCTTGAGGGTGAGGCAACATTTTGCAGCCCAAAAAAGACCAAAAAGTGGCATGTATTTTTGAGCAGGGGAGCAACAGCAGTTCTCCGTGAAGAGCTGAGCAGCTCGCATGTTGGCCCTTTCCCTTGTGAATAAATAATCTTAAACTTTAAAAATATGGTCTAAAATGAACTGTGACTACCTGCTAACCCTAGCATGTATCTCCAGCCATTCTCCTTGTCACCGCTGAAGATGCCCGCAATCACACATGCTACCAGTTGACCCCCTGTGACCATGGCAGTGTTAGCAGCCACCAACTGACCCCTTAAGTGGGGAGGAGCCACCTCTGCTATGTACATGGGGGACGTCATACTGGCCATTCCCAGCCCAACTCCTGAAAACACGCGTCGATCAACCTCAAAAACAACAATTGATTTAAGAAACTCAATATTAAATTTTAGTAACCTTACTATGAAATAATAATTAAGACTTTGAGCAAGGTAGGTCAGTCGCTTAAGAAAGCGTTTTTGTAATTGAAATGAAGCTACTAGAAACTAAAAACTAAACGTCAAAAATAAACTCAAATTCAACTCACCAATGATAAGTCTGCCGATCAACAAAGTTTCCTTATGTTGCGCACAGGCCATGACGATAGCCCCGAGGAGGAAGAGGAAACTAGACAGAATAATGACTGGTCGGCGACCTACTACTTCGTTTAGAGCCCCTCCCACCAAGGCGAACAGGCCGGCCATGCCTACTGTAGACGCCACTATCGCCTCCTAAAATTATTAAACCGTTTGAACTAATTGAATGAGAGTTGATACTTGAATTAATTTATAATTCCGGCAATTAATTATATTGTATCTGAAATGTATTGCAAAATGTGTTAGTATTTAGAATGATTATTGAAAAGTTTTGCTCATATCTGAAGTATCCTTACAAATTTTGTTTAAGAACTAGATAGCATCGAATTATGTCAGCAGTTCGCTTTGAACAGCTGAGTAGTCTTCTTTATTTTGCTATTAAAAAACCTTGGCTTCAGGTGACTTACTTCCTTGCAGCACCCTTCCTTCCGGACATTTTTTGAAATCAGTTTTTGTAATTTGGATAGTGATGGGTGAAATTAGAAGGGCATACTTGCCAGACATCTGAGAGGTTGAAGTGGTCCTTGATGAGCACCATTGACCCGGAGACAACCCCGGTGTCATAGCCGAACAGGAAGCCACATATGCTGGTGAGAAACGACAACAGAAGCAGGAACAACCGCTCGTTCATGCCGATATAAACACACACTCGATTCAAATACTTTTTGCTATATTTAACAAAACTGAATTTTAAATAAACAATTATAACCTTTAAATTGGTGTCATTTAGGGATCCATTTTGAAATTTTGAACCCCAACAATGAAGTCGGGTCGGAAAAATATTGACATTACAGGTCAGTTATACTGAATTTACTTCTAATATGTATAATGATTACATTCGTGAATAATTGAAGTAAAACAAGCTTCTGTCAAATATTATGTAATTTGACTAGAATAGCAATAAAAGTAGCTACGCCTCTAGCCTACAGCCAATGAATTTTACCATTGATCCATTGAAAAGCTATTAGTTAGCCTCGTTTGTTGAAATTACAAGGTTGTTATTTCGAATGCGACCAAATCATGTTGTAAGGTACTTCATAAGTTCTTATTTGTAGCACTCAGTTTGCATTATCATGCTCTATATAGCAAATGATTTAGATGAGGTCAATGTCGACCCATTTTCAGTGCATGATATTAAGTTGTTGGTATGTAATGAGCTAGAAAATTCGATGCATATCATCGCATGAAACTGATGAAGCTACAGTGCTGACTGAAATCATCCGCAAAAAAATGAACAAGAACACAATTGGAAACTTTAAATACTTTTTTTTCTCAAAATGGGTTAGAAATAAATAAAAGAAAACAAAAGTGGAGTTGCTAAAATTTTTACAAAAAATTATCATAGGGTAATTTTTTTTTAGAAAATTCGGAATAAAATTTTAACATAAAATGAAATAATTATGGCTCCTTTTAGTCAGTCAAAAGCTACGCTGAAACAATTGATAAGCAGGTTATATCAAATTAAGTCAGTTAAACATCCCAACATACTTCTAGCAGAGTTTCATCACCAAAAACTTGCGCAAAACGATTAAAATTGGTTTTTAAGCAAAGTTTTGGATTCTACTTACTCAGAGGAACATGATCAAAGGAACATGACTATCAAACAAAAATATTTTCATTTATAAATTTTTTGAACAATATAGCCTTCTAAAATTTTGTAGTGCTGTGGTTTACTTTGATAAAATTTGCTCATCAATTGACAAAGTAGTTTCCGCGTAACTTTTGATTGACCAAAAGAAGCCGAAATTACTACTCCAAAATTGCTAAGTCTTCCCAGTCTGAGAAAACGATAGTTCAACACTGGCTTGATTTTGGTTTCGGGATTATACATTTTCAACGTTTTTTTTTGTCGTTTTCAGTACTTTTACTGGTGAGCGCTTTGTCTTTGATGCACTGCTTGTGCTTTTTACCAGGGGTTCTATACTTTGTGTCTTTTTCCGCTAACTTTGATTGTTGTTTCCAACTTTTTGTAAACTTCGTTTTTTCCTCTTTGTTTTTTGTCTTTCTTGTGTTTCCACGAACTTTGGCTGCTTTGGTGTCGTTGAGTTTTCTAAATCTAAACTTGATATTGATTTTTTTTGCGATTGTGGGACTCTCTCAACTTATCAAGACTGCTATCATAAAACTTGAATTGATATGAATTAACAATGATCAGAAACGGCATAAACGCGCTCTGCAATCTTTCATCGGAAACAAAAAATAGTGATTTTCACACTCTAAAACAATTTTTTAACACGGTCGACAGGTACCGACTTTGACAAAATTCAAATAAATTCATAAATTAAGGACTAACACTATCACCTTCCAACATAGCAACAACACTATAGCCTGCCGCACCACACTTCCCCTTCTTCGAAAACATTTTTGATCAACAGAAAATAAAAAATTTCAACAGTTGAAGTTTTTAAAATAAGTATCAGAGTTTCAGTTTTCACTTTTTCGGCGGTTCATTCTTCTTTCACCCCTCTTAAAAACTCTCATAAATCTCGCAGGTGGTACGGTGAGGACAAAAGCTCCTTACGTGAGACGGAATGGTCGCATCACTAGCAAGTCCCGAAGTTGACGATTCCGATACTTCTTTCATAGCATGACAAATGGGTTTACCGTAAAACTGTGTCTGCGTTTTACTACGGCTTGAAGTCCTTGATGAACAAAACCATTTACATCTTGGTCTGCTTATGTGTATGGTGTAGATGTCTGGGGACTGATTTTTTTGGACTTGAGTCCGGTGTTGACTTGACTATGGTCAAAGGGAAAGACTGCGGGGTGAGATTCGGAGCTATAACTGAATCCTCCTCCAAAGTAAATGGGACCAGGCCAGCCGGTTATATTACAATTTTGGGACTAGGTTGGATCGCTACTCTCCTGGTCTTGTTGGCCCGGCTGTTGTCCATCTTGACTGTGATCGGCGCGGATTTAGAGCAAAACGGTTGATCAATAGAAGATGATCTTGCCACTGGTGGATTGATTATCCCGATGGAGCTCGAAGAAGACCCAGTGAGGTCTAATATGGGGACTGCTGTCTGGAATGTCTGAACTGCTGTGCTAATTCTGGTTACAATCGTTTTAACTTTCCGGAACTTTCCTTGAGCTAAGGCCGAAACATACATCTTCGACGTTGCTATTAAACATTGGAGGGTGCTGGTAACTTTGGGCTGTGCAGTTCATCAGAAGATGATGATGTCGAAGTCCTACGTTGCCTCATTGCCCTGTTCCCAGAAACTCACTTGCAGGGTCCTTAGCGACCTTAAACTTGTTATTTTAACCTTAAGGAGAAATCATTTATCTAACGACTTTCCCTGACTCCTTAAAATAAATCGAAGAGTTGACTTCGATTTTTTTTAAAATCAAGGTAACGTTTAAATAAATTTTTCCCCGATTTCTGATTTGCTACCTTCCTGTAAGTTTCAATTGACTGCGGATTAGATAATTTTTGAAACATGTTTACTTTTGGGCTTAGAGGCAGACACGTCCGTCATATCTAATTAGAATCCGATTTTAGGCCGTTTCTGAGAGAGGCCACTAGAAGTTGATTATTGTTGTTAAAATATGTAGCGCCCGACATCCCTCTTCATGAGACACTTTCTTTTCCACATCAACCACTCATTCGCCGATTCAGCTAGTTGTTCGAGAGATCTGTAGTAAGGTTTGTCCGCGATTGATGAGCTGTCCAAATTGAACTTAGGTGACACGTTCCGACACTGGCAGCCTTTCGTCACTCTTTTAATAAGTGGTGTACAGTTACATGTCTCTCTTCTGTGATCTGCAGTCAAGAGGTCTCTTGCCATATGTCGCTCGTCTAAAATTAATTTAGTCTAAAACCTATCGGTCGCTTACGACCATTCAGTATTTGGCTCTCTGCGGAAATGGCACTCAAATGGAGATAAACCAGTAACAGATTTTTTGTTATTCGTATGTCTTCAATAAACTTTTTAGGGGCTGTTGAAATATATGGTGGATTTTTATCTAACTGTAAAGTCCTTAATTTTTTTAAATCATCTGAACTGTACGTTCTACCAAATCACATTCTTGATGGTCACCGGCGAATAAAAATTTTATCTTATTCTTTTCGATTTACAAAGTTGATCTGCCAACTTATTCTTAAAATCCGAATTTTGGTCAGTTTCAATGGCTTAGTTCTGTTTTGATTCTTTTTGCTGAGCCAAAAGGGTTGGTTTTTGTTTGATTTTAAAGGAATTAGAGTAACTCTGGCCTGAGTTAGAATTTGAAATTGAGGCTCCTAACAGGCTTTTCTGTTTTTGTGAGGTGGAAGCAGTTACATATCCTTTCTTTTGAAGAAGGGCAGAATTGAGGGTTTCCTTAGTTGAGTTACCTGGTCTAATACAAAGATCACGCTGTATATCTTTTAACCTCATTTTGGCGATAAAAAAAATGTCGCGTACGACTTCCTTCTCGTTTTCCACTGCCCAACGACATTGGGCTGCTTGGCCCGTCAATCTCAGAAAACAAGTATCCAGGCTTTTATGGTCGGTTTGTTGTGTGTTTTACAGGTTTGTTCTTTCGATAATATAAATCTTATCCTTTTTGAATAAGGTTTAGAAGTAGTTGTAGAAGTCTCGAAAGTTGATTCTTGCAATATCTACATAAGCGTGGCTCTGTAAGAATCTTTTCTTATCTTCTAATCCTAGCGAGAAAAATAACCGCGATTTGATTATTTGATCCGCTTCATGAAAAATTGATTTTTTTTCCAATTTTTGGGCTTTTTTCTTCTTTCCTCGTTGAGCTCGATGGTTTTGCGGATTTCGATTTGATGAATTGCAATACGGTCAGCTTGTTCCGTTGTGCTTTCTACTTCTCCTTTTCTTTCTCGTCGTGGCGGGGGCTCGTCAAAAACTTCTAACTGTTCGTTTAGTAGATTATTGACATTGAAAATTTCTCTTAGATTTACGGCTAAGAAAAATTGTCCGATCCACGATTGCCAGGGGAATAAAGGTTCCGTTATTGGTTTGGGCTAGTACGCTGGTATCCTTACGAGATCAGTTCGGCGCTCGCCGACGAAAAATCCTGGCTGCGCCATGTGGGATAACAACCGACAGAGTTACAATGATCATAAACGTGTTCTGCAACCTTTCATCGGAAACAAGAGAGAGTGATTTTCACACTCTAAAAAATTCGCTAACACGGTCGGCAGGTACCGACCTTGACACAATTCAATTTAAATCAGTACTCATTTACTTACACTATAACCTTCCATCATAGCATTAATACACATACATAAGGGGCGGTCCTCCAGCTGTACCGCAGCCAACAAATTGTAAACCAGAAGGTTACGTAGCCGCGTGGGTCTACAGTTCCAAACTTTCTAGGAACATAAGCCCCTTCTTATTCATAGCCGCAGTTGCTTACCGAAGTTTCGGATCCAGCCTTATGTCGAGATGTTGCTAGTATTTTCGTTTCTTGATGTTTCGTTGTTTCTTGTCAAAAGATTATTATCGGTTTAATTTTTTGGGAATTGAATAGATAACTGCAGCTTTCTTGTCTTTACAAGGGTTAGTTTTGCAAGCATTTTAGTCAATTTTGGTATTTGTAACGACACGTAACAAAAATTTTCATTCTTTTTTCTGTCGTTTGAAAATTTGAAGAAAAAAAAGAAGTGGAAAAAAATCGATTTAAATCGATTTAAAATCGATTTGGATCGATTTCGTTTTAGGTCAGATTTAAGATCCATTCAAATCGATTTGAAATTGACTGGAATCGATTTTTTTAGCGTTGAAATTAAATCGATTTAAATCGATTTAAAATCGATCCAAATCGATCTGAATTTTTTTGTTTTGATTAACTTACTTTTTTACAACTTAAATCTATTTCAATCTAATCTGCATACTTTTTTCATACTA